CGAGAAGACGTTGATAAGGTGAGAGATTCCTTGACTCATATTCAAAGATTTTCATTTTTTAGGCAGGAATTGGCATTAATAAAACAATGTTTGATTGCAGTATAATGGCATTAACAGTCAGTGAGCAATGTTCGTGGCATTGTGCCAGATTGGGAATAAGTGCATGACACATTCCCACACTAATAAATACAAGAATAGAGTCTCTGCCCTGAATCTGCTGTGTTGTGACACTCAAATGTGTTGTGTTGTGTATTTTAGTATCTTTGGTTGGGCACTCAGGGTGTATGTAAGCGTCCAACACAATTACTAATTGTACAATTACAAATACAGGTGGTGGACAAAACAATGGACAAATCACACGAAAAAGCAGTTTTACTTCGAAGTAACTGAATCACAATTACGCACAGCTGCAAAGTCTACTATTTAGCAGAAGAGCTCTTACTTAACGAGGTATCAGAGATTTATCGTTGGTGTACCAATTGCAAAAAATAACTGTCTAAAAAAGCATGACAGCATGGAAAAACTGGATAATAAACAATTAACATTATCTGCAGGATAAAGCTTGCTGACTGAGATGGACAAACAATTAACAAGACAGTTGCTAAACAGAGAAAACTGTTATGTGGCAAGTCCATGTCAAGTCTCAAGTCTTCATCTTAGTGACCTAGGTCTGACTCGAGGGAGTCTCAAGTGTTGCAAGTTCACATCTCCATTGGTAAATAATACAAAGTGTGCAGATTTACCAACAAAATAACATTCAACAAGATGAAGAGTCTACAGACACGCTAGCAGCTCTGTGAAGCTGATGGGAATGTCATTCGATTTGCAGGTGTTTGGTCATAAATCAAAGTACTGGATAAAATACGATTTTGACTGATATTTGCCCTAGATTTAAAAGTCAGAGGATCATCTAAGTGATTACAACTCATTCTGGGAGAAACATGAATGTGTGTACCAAATTTCATTGCAATCCATCCAAAAGTCATTGAGATACTTAACTTTTTTACTTAACAATTACTCTATTTACTCAAGTCAGAGTCAGAGTGACCTGGGGCAGTAACGGACCTTTCTCCACCTTCTGAAATGTTAAATTATTTAAACACGTCCTTACCGTCGACCCTGAAAGTCACTGTTCAGTGGTGACTTTTAACTCCAGAGCCCCTGAATGTCCTCTCAGAGCTGAGCTCTGAAAAAGCATTTCCTTATCCAAATCTTCTGGCAGGAACCCTCTGGGACTCCATCCAATGATTCCAAAGTATATTACCCAACACTCTTAAAGGAAAACAGATACAGGATGAGGGGCAAATGCGATTACAACTACAATTACAGACCCATTTTTATTGTGTTGGAGGTCATTCCACTTTTTTCATCTCTCCCTCATCTCCTGTTAATGCTATTTAAATTTTCCACTCAACTCGTGTTTACGGCAGCCAAGAGTCCCACAAAACCAGCCGACTTTTTGGAATCGGCCTCAATGGAGCAGCAAGTATCCCCCTTCTGTTCCCTTTTTAGCCCAAAGCTGTGATCCATACACTCTATATATGGGTCCATATAGCTGAATCCTGCGAGACAGAGGATGATTAGTGTGTGAATGACATGAACGACAAAGCCACAACTCCCTTCTAGGAGTGTGGGCTGTCAGCAAAGAATCAGAGTGCCTGTATATAAGCTTAACTAGTGAGTGGGTCCACAAAATAATTTTCCAGAAAGTGGTGGCAGGCAGAAAGGAAACTACGGGCAATTAAAACTGAAATAATCTGACCACATCTTTGAAAACAGAAGAAAATCTACTCTTCAAAAATAGCCTGAATAAAAAGTATAAGACTTTAACGTTTATGTACCAGCACTGTTCATCCCTTTGCTTTGTTAAATAAGGGTTAATAACTTCTTTTTTGTGCTTGATCGTAAAATATCATGTGTCTGTGATGATTCATAGACTTCATTCCTTCTAAGAATCTAATGGTATTTGTCTACTCTTCCTTACCTCCCCTCTGCAGATGTTGGAGGACGACGGACAGCATGGTGTTACTGGATGGATGTCAAGCTGGCTGGGAGGCAGAGGAGCACAAAGTGTCCCAAACACTCCCCAAAGGCCCACCAGTGGTCAGGGGTTCAACTCGGTAAGATAGATAGTTAGATAGATAGATGGATACTTTATTTATCGCGTGGGAAATTCAAGTATCCAGTAGCATACAAAACATACATTACATACATTAAACATACATTAAAATAAAAAATAAAAAAATAAACGTCACATTAAGTTATTTTAACACAGTTTATATTTTTTACCCTAACCGATCACAGAGCAGTGCACATGTAACAGGTTTTATAATGAACAACAGTTCCCAGGACTGTCGTTTATCACAAGGCTCACAAGGCACACAAGACGTGGCATCAGCATAAGTTCCGTGCAATTGTAGAGAAACAACACATTTTTCCACTGAAAAGAGGAGAAGAGAGCGTGATATCTGCAAAATTACAAAAGACATTAATTCAATTCTCATGAAATAAATAAATGCCAAATACAGTCCCTCTAAAAAATAACATCAATCCCCACAGACCTTCAACTGAGAAACAAAGCATTCACAATGTCTATCTCACATACATGCTCTCTGTGCCTATGTTACACCACAGTTACACAATGCTCCATGATGGCCAACGTGGTCTCAACAGTACATTTAAGCATTGCGAGTTACACAACAGCCCTGCCACCCTCATGCTCTGACAAACTCCTCTTCTAATTAGCAAAAAAAGCTACCTACCTATTTATGGCAGCAGAGTAAAGAGTTCTTGAGCAAGATTCCTTCCCAGGATGCAATTCTGAATCTAACTCTTCATTTTTGACTCCCTATTTAGGGTGTAAAGCAGAATTTCCTTGCTAAAATATCTCTATGTAATATCTTTTGTTTCAGTCCTTCTCAGAGATGTTTGTAAAGTTCCTGGAGATTGAGTCGACCCCTTCGCTGCCTGCAGCAAAGCTTTCAGCCCATGACATCAAGACTCTGAGCGCTCCGCCTCCGCGAAGATCCAGCGGTGCTTCTTCCGGCACCACTGCAGGTAAATAACCCCTCTGGGAATAACCGCCGCCTGGATGTTTCTTTCTCTCGTGTGCTTAATCCGTCATGTGAGACGATGGCGTTCTTCCTCCAACATCCCCAAACACAAACCTTATTTAAATCTGAGCCTCTCTCTTCACAGGAGCTGCAGCAGTCAGCAAGCGAGCCGGCGATTCCAATCCTTTCCTGGCCCCTCGTTCCGCTGCAGTGCCCCTGCTGGCTGGTTCCAGCTCTGGCGGCTCAGGAGGGCACCTGCTGATGAAGCCCATCTCAGATGCCCTGCCCACCTTCACACCTGTGCCGGTCTCAGCTGAGGCCAGTGCTGGAGCTGTGCTCAAAGACTTGTTAAAGCAGTGATTGGTCCCATGATGCGTGTCAGATAGATATCTTAATTCAACATGAGTTTTACACTACAAAGACTGAGATATTTGAGCAGTTCTGCTACTTATTGCTGCTCTTTTTTGTTATTTCCTAAATAATCAGAGAACTCATAAAAAGCTAATATTCCCTTTTTTTCGGAGGGGATTGGAACTAAAAAGATTTTTTCAGACTCAGTTTTACTTGCAATTATTGTTCTATGCAACAGTCTCCCTTTACACACCAGTAAAAGTGTTTCCCGCTGAGCATTATTGTTAACCCACAAGTTGAAAATGATCAATTTAGTGACTCCACATGCAAAAATGATGCAGGAAGAGAATATTTTCAAGTTGTGGGTCATAGAAACTGTCCTTCTGATTACGTCTTACATTTTGAAATTTTTTTTTTTTATTCATCGCACCAGATCTGAACACAAGTGACCTTGTAAACTCATTGTGTGCGGTTCGATACATGTGGGTTGAGTTAATCATCACCTCCGTTGCAAGAGGAAACATGTCCTTCAGTTTTCATCATTAGACTTGTATTGAACAACTCTTCTTGTCTTCTGAGTCTTTTTTCCCTTTCAACAATGCAGTGAATTGTTTCTGATCCAGGACTTGCCTAAAAACTCTCTGGCAGCAGTGGCCTGTGTAGAGATTTATGTGGTTCAGTACATCTGTTAAAACCATAAAGACATTTTTGCTAAATCTTGTCTTTTCCAGACGGCCAGACTGTGATATGCAACAAGCATTGTAATTATGGCTGTAACTGCGGACTGTGGTTGATCAGAGGCTTGAGACTGCTCTTATGTTAAGTACAGTACTATTATATAGTTATATATATGTAAATGGGTGGCGTTTTTCCTATTTATGGGCACTAAGGAAGTTTTGGAAGTTAAGTGCCTGCGTTTTTTGCTAATTAGATGAGTTGTATAATCAGGATTGTAAATGGTTAATATAAATATATATATTTACAAAATGTAAAAACTGCACATTTAAAAAGTTTTAGCTGACCAGAGCTGGCCAGCTTGTAACTGAGCTGCTCTACATTTTTGTATAGACATCAATCAGCCGCTGCAGAAGGAATGTTACAGGGTTTCTCCAGGTGTATTGATAAAATGTATAAAATGTAAATCCTCACTGTAAAAGAATTTTTTGTAGATGTAAAATCTGAAGAGTTGTCAAAAAAGGAGTTGGATTACCTTGAACTTGGATGATCTTTAATGAGGCTGATACCTGTGACTTAATTGGAATTTCAAATCAAATAAAGGTACTGCTGACCCTTTCCTGCTGTGCATTTTGTCTTCTTTCTTTTTTTTTTCCACTAACGCACATTCATGTAAACCAGATGTTTCTACTACAGCGTGGATAGCTTGCCTTGGCTGCTCCAGATGTGCAGTGTCATTCAGCTGTACGAGAAGGAGTCGTGTGGGACTGGAGGAGGGTGGGGGGGCTGTTAATATCTTTTGAAAACAGTCACTCACTGTGTATGTTTTATGCCTTTTATGCCCCCCCCCCCCC